TCTCTGTCTCCGAGCTCCGGCTGCTGCCAGCCCTCAGGGCCGCCACTCGGCTCTCCGTCCCGCAGCTCCGTGCCTGGCACTTCGCGCCCTGCGACTTCGCAGTTCCATTCCCGGCCCTGGCGCGCTCTCTCTGCCCCTCTCCCTCTCCTTTTCTCTCTCTCTCCCTTCCCTCGTCGCCCTTTCCGCCTCCCCACCCACCTTTTCCTTCCTCCCTCGGTCTCGATTGCTTGCTCCTTAGTTCGTGAGCCTTCAGACACAGCAGAGCAGCCTCGCAGGAAAATCCCAGAAACCATTGCAAAAAGCTTGCAATGAAATTTAAGAAGTTCTTCGATTTCGGCGCCATTTTCGAGTGGAGAGAGGTGACATGCGATTTTTAAAAAAGGGTCTTGTTGGCTGGCCTTTTTCCCAATCGTAACGTCGGTTAACGGCCGACTGAAACAAATCTAATGATAATTCCGAAAAAAGTTCTGTGCCGCTTTGGGGGTTGGAAAGCAAGTTTGGGGGGTTGGAGTGAGGGGCGAGACAGACCTTTAAAATGTGTAGCAAATGAGTGGGGGCCGGGAAATTCTCAGGAAACGGGCTGAGAAAAAGTTAACGGGGAGGGCGGGGTGAGAAAACCGAGTAAGGGGCAGTGGTCAACTGTCAGCCTCAGGGATCTGGAGCGACTGGTTTTGACACAATGTAAATGGACTTTTGGAGACTTATTTGTAAGCAGTAAAATATGCCTTGGAGAAGAGTGTGAGATTGATTTTACATTGTTTCTCCCGAATTCAAACTTTGAAGGTTGCTCAGTTTTCCCTTTGGGGAACTTGACATTGAGAAAGTTTGGCACGAATGCGCGGATGGAAGGTACATCGTGGTTTTGGGATGTGGGGGAACAAGGAATGTGCAAAATTAAAAGATACTGTTTTGGAAGATATGAACGGTGAAAGACATATAAATCATTTGGCTAAACTTTTGCAGTTCAGAAGGGGTGGGGCTATGGCAATTCGAAAGTATTGATTCTTTGTTTTATCAGCAAATGACCCTCTCCAGAAGTGACAGGACGCCTCTTTGTACTCTCTTTTCGTAAGTAAACTTCAGTCTAAGGGGAAATACATCAACTGAGAGAGCGAGATGGCTTTTTAGGGAAGTAAGTCGTTGTGGTGTCACTGGAAGAAAAGAAAGGTGTGTAGTGAGAGGTAAAAAGAATTTGATTCCAGTGTTAGTTTACAAATCTCAGGACCTTTCACCTTTGGTATCGGTGTTATTTCGAAGGAACTTGTTTTTCTAAGGGAATGCTAAATTGGGAATGACTTTAACGTATGGTGTGATGGCTCACATATTTGTGCAGAACACAAAATATTTAATTGAGGACAATTATAGGCTTTTAAGTTGTAATTGTACATTTGCTAAACATGTTTCTTTTTTTCTTTTCAAGGGCAACCAACGACTTTTTTCTTCATTAAACCGAAAGGTCAATGTAAAAGTTGTTTGTTAATTAATATAGCCAAAGCAGGACAGAATTTAGAAACACTTAATTTTCCTGATTTAGGGATTTGGGGTTATTATTATTGTTATTATTATTATTATTATTATTTTGTACCGAAGATCAAATTTGGGTCCTTGCACTTTTGAGGCAGAGAGCGCAGACACTGAGCTAAATCCCCGGCCCTGGGGTTATTATTTCTAATGACTTTGTTTATCCCGACACCGTGTATTTGTTAGCAGTGGATCTCAGTCCATGGTGTTGTAAATTTTGTAGTTAATCTCATTAAAAACTGAACACTTCGTTAATACATAGGATATATAACATTCATTGTTGTAGAGGTTTTATGAAACCAAAATTTTTAAATGAAACATATCCTTAGTATATTCAGATATTTTGACTGTCCTTTATTTTAATAAAATACATTTTGACTTTTAAAGTCACTATAGGTTGGGTTTTGTTTTAATTTTTAGGTTTGTGATTGAGAGCTGCTTAAGGGTAGGGTTTTTTCCTATGCTTACTTGAATATTTTGCTTAAACAAAGGGAGGGGGATACGTGTAACTTACTGCATATATGTATACATTTTAAAAAAGAAAAATGGTATGAAATGAGTTAATCATTAAGGAGTATGCACACCGCTGGCCATTTCAGGACATTTGAAAGAGTTTCTGTGGAGTCAACTTGAGGAAGAACTAATTTGACATTAAGTATATAAACCTTTTGATTTGTGTTTTGATAGATGACATTGAGAGGTACCAATTAATTATATGAGTTTGAGCAACCAGGATAATATGGAGACATTCCGGTTATTTCCCCTACAGAAAGTTGTCGCTCATTCTTCATCCCTAAAAATAACTCCAAGCAAGCTGTTTAAGAATGAAGAAAATATCATTAGTAGTGAGTTAAAGAAGACATCTGATGCCTGTGTAGATGAATCTATATTTCCACAAATCTACCTTAGAATTAGCCAACAGTACCAGTGGGTCTTGGTTATCTCCTTTAAGTCACCTGTGTCTCTTTCCAATAAATGAAAAGATTTTTTGTTTGTCTAACGGGACAGCAAATGAGACACAGCAGAGGAGTTTCACCAAGACTTGGATGCTGTCAAGAGTGATCGAGATGTTGCCTAATTGTCTCAAATGAGTTAGTCTTATTTTTCATCTTCTTGCAGAGGTAAGATTCTCTCCCACCCTAATTTCTGTCTCCACCTCCTGGCTTTTCACCACTACACTTTTCCAGGGTTCATCCTCAGGGAAAATGACAACCACACCCTTTGCTCCGCCTACAGATCCTGGAAATCAAACCTTTGAAGTTTCTAAAGTAGGTTACTTTGGACTGATGCATCTTGATCACAAATTTTACTTAATCATTGGCATTGAGGAGGGTGGGGTGGGGCTTCCTTCCTGTCACCCTGTCCTTCACTCACAGGTACCCCTCTGAGCGATCCTCCTTCATTGACTCCGAGGGGGTGCAGCAGCAATTCATGTTTTGAAGTGCTCAAAAGGATTCAAAACGTGAGGCGCTGCTATATCCCCTCGTGGGAAAGTAGAAAGGGGATCAGCTGGAAGTAACCACCCCTGGCCCCCTGCGCACAAGGCTGGCTACCTGGGAGTAGGTAGGTGGGCAAGGGCTTCTGTCTGTGTCCTTTCCTGTCCTTAGTGGCTTGGCCTCGGTCCAGAGAGGGTAGTGTTGCTGTGCTGTACTGGGAGGGGGTGACCTGCCAGGGGTCACTCGCAGGCAATGGGCAGCTAATCTAGCAGGGAGGCAGTGACTCACACTCAGTCGTGCCCTAGCAGCGGGAACAGTACTGCAGTGAGTGATCTGTACTCTGGAGTGTTGTTTCTGCTGCCAGGGTAAGCCTGGGACTTCTCCACAGGCATAGTCATGAGGTAAGTGTCAGCCATTACCTGCAGTGCCCACCTTAAAAGCAGAGAGACTTGGAACTAGCGCACCCGGTCCTCCGTGAAACATTGGCCCATCTTTGTTTTTGTTTGTTTTTGGTACCGGGGATTGAACTCGGGTCCTTGAGCTTGCAAGGCAGGCCACCGAACTGCTGAGCTAAATCCCCGGCTGGCCCATCTTTGAATATGTAACAGGGTATGACAGAGACTCATTTTAGCACCCCCCCACACACAGGTAGAGTCACAAGGAAGAAAGCCCAACAAGGAAATGGGCGAGGTGTCCAAAAAGGAGTAAAGGGAGGTCAGAAGGGTGACTGCATGCTGTCCCCACATCTCTGTGGTTCCTGTCTTGTGAGTGAAAAGGACTGGGGTTCAGGAAAGATTAACAGGCTGTTTCCCACATCTCTCTTCCCTTCCCCCATAGGGGCCAAGGTTTTCCATCGGAGAAGGGTGAAGCCCGACAGGCAGGGCAACCTAGATGGCCTTAGGAGGTGCTGGCTGCTACATCTGAGTCTGAGGCCTGGAGAGAGAGCAGAGATTTGAGGGGTGGCTCTAGGGCTCTAGGATGAGGCTCTGCCTTTCCAGCTTCTTTGTGTCCCCCTTTCCCAAAAGCTGGTCCCAGAATGTCTCCATGAAAGGCTCACCCAAAAGATATTGTTGCCCCAGAGGCCTTGAAAGACAGTGAGGGCACTGGCTAACAGCGTCAGAGCTGTCTCCTCAGGAGCCTTTTGTGAATCCAAAACGCTGCATGATATGGCTAATTAATTAGTGCTGCACATTTTTAATTCCCTAAGCCACCTCTCCCCTGACTGGAGTGGCCCTCTGAGCCTTTGGTTAGAAAACAGGTCTGGAATCACCTAGGAATTTGACAGCCTAGAAAAGTAGAAAAGCAGGCTGGTTCTCTGACTGAGGTCTTAGTTTTCCTGTGAAAATCACTTTAGATAATATTTTGATCTGAAGCACAGGCAGGGAGAAGACTAATGGCAAACACATTCCATGCTTTTTGTCATTTTAAAAGACAAAAGCAACACAAGCATACAATTGGCTTGTCTACTCTGTGGGCTGCTTTGAACTGGTCTACCCTGAGGGAGCAGTATAGGCCCCCAGAAGATTTCCAGTTTGCGGGGGCCTAGGCTTCCGGGTAGTGCAGAGAGGAAAGTCCAGCTCCAGTCACCCAAAAAGCTCACTCCCAGGTTCCCTTGTGCCAGGTGTCAGAGGTGCTGCCACCGGCCACCGCTACCCAGCCTGGGCTCTGGTGGCCTCAATGCCCCACGCTGCTCCTGGACGACCTGCCCGCGCAGGCCAGGGCCCCTCTGGCCTGCAATCCCCTGGCAAACGGGTTCCGGAGCCTGCCTGCCTTTGCACTTGGAGCTGAACATGGGGCACCTTGAGGTTCCCCTTCTGTAGCTCACCCACACCTTTCTCCTGGTTCTATGTGGTTCTCTCGAGCCAGGGGAGAAAGTGCCAACAAGCTCTGGAGGAGCCCAGCCCTCCTGAGGACCTTGCCCGGGCCATCCAGCTTTCTGCAGTGGGTGCCTGCAGGACCCAGGTGAGACACAGGAACAAGTGATTCTAACCTGGGGGCATTGCCTTCCAAAATCTAAGAGGCCCTTTGCCTGGGGCTCCCAAGAGACCGCAGAGCATGTCCACACTTGCACCTTTTATTTACACAAAGTTGCAGTGTGCCTAGATTTTTCACCAAGGACAAAAATGTGAATAAAGCAGTATTTTAGCCAAACATTTCTGTGTCAATTAAGAAGATGGCAATTTGTTCCAGACTATAAATTCTCTTTTAACAACTCCCTAAGGTTTTCTTTGAAATTGTTTTTTCAACATTGCTAAATGAGCATCATAATGTGTGGGAAACTTGTATAAAGTGAATCATTTTATAGTCTGCTGATTAATGGACCCAACGTTACTGCCTCCAAGGAAGTACCTTTCCATTGTTTTCTCGGTTTTTCCCCAACACATGTTATTTGTTAGTGAGGAAGCTGCATGCATACAGCACTGTATAAATTTTATTAGACACTG